ATGCCGGGCACAGACTCTGTGGGCTCCTTTCTTGTCCCCTTCGACTGCCATGGGACCAGACCTCACCTGCCCTGTCAGAGTCTCCAGGGAGGGAGAGAGTGAGACAGAGAGAGAAGACAAGACAGGAGACAAGAAGAGGAGAAAAGGGAGTTGGAGAGTTGGAGAGTCCAGGGACAGGGAACGAAAGAGTCTGCATAAGGACAGGAGGGGAAAGGAGATGGGGGAAACGGGGAGAGGGGAGCCATGGAACATGCTCACCGCTCTCCATACTCCCACCCGAGGCTTATCACATTTTGTTGTGATAAAGTGTTCTGGAGAGCAAGTGGGCTTGGTGCCATGAATGCCTTGTTCACCACTCATTTCTGCTTATGCAGAAAGTCGATGAATATGTGAATGTAGGTTTGTCATTCACAGAAACACAGAGGCAGCAGTGAGGAAGGGAGGCGCGAGGACGCAGGGTGGGAGAAGGGATGAAACAGAGGGGGAGTGGCCGGCTGTGGAAGTCCTGGCTCCCCGGTGGGTGAAGCAGCTCAGGCAAATGTGCAGGGCAGCCTCACGGGGCTGTGACCTAGCTGCCACCCAGCAGAATGGCGCCGTCCTTTCCTTCAGCCGGGACCCAGCTGGGGTGGTGGACACCCGGCTGCCTTTGCCTGTCTTCTTGGCAATGCCTTTTCCTCCCAGTCTTCTTCGTGGTGCACCCCCTTTTCATCCACGCTGAGATGCTGTGCCAGGGACTCAACACCACCCGAGCTGACCTCACAGTGTTTCTGGGCTGTGTTTCCAGGTCACCACTGCCCTCTGTCCCAATCCACCCCTGGAATGGAAAGCCAGTTAATGACCTGTCATCCTCAGTTCCAGGAAGACTGAAGACCGCCATAAGTCAATAAGGATGTTTGGGCAAATCAAACAGATTATGTGAAGGGCAAAAGCAAACACACAGTCATCGCTATATCCCTATTGACAGAGGGAATGACGGCTCTAAACCAGCTTGGGACAACCTCCCTTGATGCTCTCAGAAGCCTCCATGGGGTAATGTGTGGGTGTAAGCCATGGGGCTTACAAATTGCAGTGTGAGTCATGGGAATGACCTAGTAGACCTGGATCCATTTTGCTAGACTGTTGGCATGGCCTCCAGGTCCAAACCAGTTCTCATGGGCAGCAGTGAGTGAAAGGGAAAATCAACCATGCTCCAAAAAAAGGAGGTGCAGAGGAACTTAGAGGCAAGGAGAACCCAGCACACCCTGGGATCCCCATGTGCTTAGCTCTGAGAAGTATGAAAGTAATAGTCTTCCGTTGGGAACACTGTACCCTTTGCTCCCTCACTCATTTTTCCCACCTGATCAAATGCATGTGGTGGTCACATGACCTTTCCTTGATGGACTTACCATCTAGATTTCTTCCCAAGTTTGCTTTGACCTTTCTCTTTTTGTCTTGAGCATGTTAGTTGATTCTCCTCTGCTTCCTCTTTTTGGGCCAATCTTTGTCATCTCTAAGCATAGCTCCCTCTCAGTCCCATGAGTTCTCTACTCCTTTTGAGGGGCTACATAGGGATCTGAAATGCACCCCACAGTCTACTCAGCAAGCCATGTGCTGTGGCACAGGATCCCCCAATCAGAGAAGATTAACACAGTGGAGCCACCTTCCACCCAAGCTGGTGACCCTGGGGTGCAGTAGTGGGCTGAAGGTGAACCTGTCAGACCGGTTGGATTTAATGTAGGTTTAGAGGCTGTTGCATAAACTCTGAACTGAGAGGGGGCCTGCCGACCAAAGAGACCCCCAGGACAAGTCCAGCCTGGCCAGTAAATGAGTTTATTAGGGGTGATTTCCACAGCAGGGCCGAACTCCAGGGCTTCAGCACGGCTGAAGCTGCCATTCCTGCTCTGCTGGGCTCCTGGCCTCAGCGGGCACCAATGAAAAGAACAGAGGCAGGACCCCACAGTGAGGGCTGCTGGGAAGAGCTGGCCATGCTTCTCATGTGACTGCCAGACCTATGTGGAGCAATCAAAAGTGTTAAGAATTTGAAATCTGATGAGTTAAACACACGAGAGGTACTGGCATGCGTGGACAAGAGTGGTGCCTGTTAGAATAGATTTGCCCTTGTTGGCCACTATTAGTGTAGTACCATATTTCTCAAAATTTTACTCTACAAAAAAATTACTGCTTGAGTTTATTAAAAATGCAAATTCTGGTAACTTCTCTTGCCCATGGTCCCACTTGACCCTGAGAGTCTAATTTAAAAGGTTTGGAAATGAGCCTCAATGCCTACACTTTTAAATAATCACAGCTGATGATGCTGATAAAAGGGGTTTTTAGTTCTCATTTTGAAAAACACTATCTTATTATCAATTTATCCCATCAGAGTTAGTTCCTAGAGGAGCCATAAAGGGGAACAGTTGATACGTTTTGATGGCACTGAAGGAGAGAGGTACCTACTGTGTGGTTTGCCAGAACAACTTTACATGGCTCTGACAAGTCCCTCTGACATCACCTCCTCTGGGACAAGAATTTGTCCATTTTAAAATTCGGAAGATGTTTTAGTCACCTTTCCATCACTGTAGCAGACACTTAAGAAAAGACAAGATCGGTCGGCTCACAATTTGGGAGGCTTCAATCCATGATGAGTTTGTCCCATTGCTTTTGGACCTGTTATGAGGCAGTGTGTCACGGCGGGAGCACGCGGCTCCGTGGATGGAGATGGGGACATACCCAGTGACCTAACTTCCTCTCACGAGGCCCCACCTCCTAGAGCTCTGTCACCTCCCAAGCACCATGGGCTGGTGACAAATCCTCCACCACAAGGGCCTGTGGGGACATTCAACACCCAAATTATTTCAAGAAAACTATTTCAAGGAAATTAGGACGGAGCACTGCTCAGATAATTTAGGATTAGCTGAAATGTTTTCTTTGCCCTCTCCCTCCCCTCATCCTCTTCTTTTGCAGAAGAAAGTATGAGGTTGGCTGTGAAGCAACAAGCAAATGTGGAGGACACAGGAATGAAGGTGAATGATGAAGTTCACCTTGCCCCAAAGGCAGTGCAAGGCAAGGTGGTGGAGACAAAGAAGCCTGGACCCCCAAAGAAGCTCTTCCCGAGCTCAGCCCTCTTCCGGCAGTGGGGAGAGGATCTTCCTGAGGCTGAGCAGAAGAAAGCCCAGGACCTGTTCCACAGGTTTGGTTACAATGTGTACCTCAGCAACAGGCTGCCTCTCAACCGCAGCCTCCCGGACACGAGGGACTCCAGGTGAGACAGACTTGGGGCTCCCGGGGACCTGGGTGTGCTCTGGAGATGAGGTCCAAGGGCTGTGGAAGTCAAGGTTGGGAGTTCGGGGCGGGTGTTGCTGGGGAAGGTGATGAGAGGTTTGTCGTTTTAATCCATGTTATAGCGACAGCTCAGAGAGGAGAACTGAGCGGTCCACATGCACACAGCCCTCGGAGAGCAGCTGAGTGTCAGACAGAGCCCTCTGAGAATTCTGATGCCATGGTCTAAAAACGATGCTACAGATGTGGACCCGAGGCCGAGCCAGGGTGTGTGCTAGTCACACCTGGGTTACAAGGATGTTTCCTCCCCTAGGCTTTCCCTCAGTGGCTCTGCTTGGATTCCTCGTTATTACTGAATTTAAGGTCAAGAGTCTTCTCTCTTCTCCTCTATTCTCTTTCCTGATAGCTTTTCTCTTTCCATCTCCCCCATCTTCCTTTACACTAAAAAACGGTTCTGTTGAGATCTGATTTATAAACCATACAATCCCTCCATTTAGGTATATAAACCCTGTACTAGAGCAGCTACTTCCCATCTCCCCACAACTTCCTTATCTTTAAGCAATCATTGATCTGCTTTTTGTCCAGTTCTAGTTCCACAGGAGAAAGGCTTTGCAGGCAATAAATGAAAAGTAGGCACACCCTTTGCCACGTGGCAGTGGCTCTCGTGGCTTTCGAAGTGCAGGGCCCGGGGCTCCTCCAGAGCCTCTCTTCTCTCTCTACCGCCAGCGGTCACGGCCCAGGGCACAGTTTCCCTGGCTGTCTTGAGCATGTCCTGCCTCCTCCTGACCCTTGGACCTGGTAGTGAGAAAGCTGCAGCTGCTCGTGTGACGGCTTCTCTGCTGTCAGCTTCCGTCAGGTGCTTATTCTGTGGCACTCAGTGGCCCTCCGCACCATGTCCAGGAAGTGGTGATTTGGTCAGGTAGGGGCACAGGGAGCTGGTAGAAACCCACCCTTGAGTGGGTACCTGGCCCACAACGGGTTGGTGGAAGATGGTGCGGAGGTTGCACAGGGGTTTCCTGGTTGCCTCCCAAGCTGCTTCCTCTTTTGCAGCTTGCAGGGTCTGGGTCTTCTTGAGCTTCTGGTCTTATTTCTCTTCCTTGGTGAGCTCAGCCACAGGCTCACAGCAGTGTTTTTTAGAGGATCCATAATTCAGAGCCATAGCTGTTCCACCTCAATGGGTAGCCCTGGAACATGCCCCACAGCCAGGCGATCCCCCTGCCAGGCCTGACCAGCCTCAGGCCGCCTGCAATGCCTCCCATAAGTGTTAGTGCATTGAGATTTTTGTTTCCAGTCATCTTACAGCATTTTCTAATTTACCTTGTGGTTTCTTCTTTGGCCTATGAGCTATTTAAGAATGTGTCACTTAATTTTCACCTACTTGTGAATTTTATGTTTTAATCTCTGAGGTAACTTCATGATGATCACAGAGTCCCATTCTGTATAAATTCTATCTTTTTAGGCTCATTTAGGGCACAGGTCATGGTGTTTGTGCAGGGGACAGCCAGAGCACCCTGCTCTGGAGGGGGGTGTCGGGGGGTGTCAGGAGGCGTGTGGCCTGTGACATCCCGTCTTCCGTTTCCCTGTCAGTCTGCTGTCAGGCTGCCCTGTCCATGACTGAAGGTAGAGCACTGAACTCTCCAACTGTCATTGTTGAGTTGTCTATTTCTCCCTTCAATTCTGACACTTTTGGTTTTGTGTGTTTTGGCACTATGTATTTTAGGCATATATATTTATGATTGTTATATCTATTTTATGAACTGATGCTTTTATCATTATAAAGCCTCCCCCTTTATTGTAGTAATATATATATTTTTTGCACCGGGGATCAAACTCAGGTTCTTGCACTTGCGAGGCAGGCGGCGGAAGCCCTGAGCTAAATCCCCGGCCCTATTGTAGCAATATTTTGCTTTAACATTATTTGTCTGCTCCAGTTTTCTGTGGTTCTTGTTTATATAGTATAATCATTTTCTGTCCTTTTATTTTCAGCTTCATTGTATCTCTTGGTCTAAAGTGTATTTCCTGAAGGCAGCATACAGTAGGATTTTTAAAAAATACAACTTGGCAGTTTCTACTTTGGACTATAGTAGCTAACTCATTCATATTTAATGTTTTTATTGATAAGTTGAATTTATACCTGCCATTCTGCTGTTGTTTTCTAAAGTTTCCTCTTTTTTCCATTCCTTCTTTACTGCTTATCTTTTCATTAAATGAATATTTTCTAATGTAACAGTATAATTACCTTAATTACTTCTTACTGTATATTAGTTATTTTTATAGTGGTTTCTCTGGAGCTTATCACAGCACATACATCCTAACTTACCAGAATCTACTTAATTTACTGAAATGTAGAGAAGTTCTTTATATATACCTCAATTCACTGTTCCTATTTTTCGGCTGTAACTGTCACACACATTGCATTATGTATGGTGCAAACCAAAAAATATATTGTTATAATTATATAATTTTGTATCTATTAAAGGAAAAGAGAAAAATGGAGAGGAAATAAAAACTACAAAGTCTATTATATTTGCCATGTCTGATTCTCTATATTTTTTCCTTTTTATTCAGTTTACTACTTATTTCCTTTCCTTACATGGATACAGCTTCTCTCTCACCCACTTCTCTTGTGCTATTGTTGTCAAGTTTATTACATTACTCTAAGTTAATCACTACTCCTAAGTTACTCGATGATATAGATGCACATTGTTTTTGCACTATTGCTTTTAAATAAGTTAGAAGAAGAAAAGAGATATGCATTTATGCTGTTTTATAATCCCATAACTACTTTTACTTTCCTCTGTCTGTCTCTCTGTTTATCTCTCTCTCTGCATCTGAATTACTGCCTGGGGTCACTTGGTTTTGGCCTAAAGGATGTGGCATTACTTGTAGGGGGTCCACCAGCAATAGATTCTATCAACATTTGTTTATCTGCCAGTGACTTCATTTTGACTTCCTACTTGAAAGATACAAGATATCAGAGATGCTTGCTTGATACTATTTATTCTTTTGGCAGTTTAAATATATGACCCTGTTAACTTCTGGCCTCTATTATGCTATGAGATGCCAGCTATTAATCTTATTAAACTTCCCTTATATGTGGCAAGTTGTTTCTCTTTTGCTTCTTTCAAGATTTTCTTTTTAACTTTGGCTTTCAGCATCAGGATTATGACATGTCGGTGTGTTTCTCTGCATTTATTCTATTTATTATTCACTGAATTTCTTGGATGTGTTTCAGTGGTTTTTGAGTGTTAGTAGTTCTTTTGGAGTCATGAAATCATAAGTGGCAGCCTGGAGCAATCATGACCAGACAATTATAAATTGACTTCTCTTGATGCTCTTAATCACCACATAATCCTCATTCAATATCTCCATGAATCCATGTTGCACAAAGCAGCGCCCAGTTCAGATCTGACTGAGGATGAACTGGACTCTGCAGCAGGTCACTCTCTGGCATCTCCATTCTGTGTACCAGGAGACAGTGGGGGGGCCTTAGATGGATCAATGACCTTACCTGGATGTTCTATCGAACATGTATTTAGACAAACCTTTTAATCTGATTAGCTTGTACTAGGATGATAAAAAGCTCTCATCTTTTGTGACAATTCCAATTGACTGGTAGTGACTACATGGGGTATTACAGTGAGAAGACTTGAGTCCATATGGTCCAAGGGAGCGGTGGCGAACCTATGGCATGTGTGCCTCAGCAGAATATCTGTTATCACTGAAAGTTCTGAGAGGATTCCACCTCACCCCAGAAAGAATGGCTGCTATCAAGAAATCAACCAATAACAAATGATGGCAGGGGTGTGGGGAGAAAGGAACCCTTCTCCATTGTTGGTGGGAGTGCAGACAGGTGCAACCACTGTGGAAATCAGTGTGGAGATACATCAAAGAACTAGGGCTAGACACCCCATTTGACCCAGCTATTCCCCTGCTGGGTATCTTCTCAAAAGAATTAAAAGAATCATACCACAGTGATATATGCTCAGCCATGTTGATAGAGGCACAGTTTGTAATAGCTAAAACTTGGAAACACCCCAATTGGCCATCAACTGGAGACTGGGTAAAGAAGATGTGGTTATTTTTATAAAATGGAGTATTACTCACCATAAAGAACAAGAAACTAGTGATATTTATAGCTAAGTGGATGCACATTGAGGCCATACTCCTAAGTGAAATAAATAGGACACACATGTGTAAATACCGAATAGTTTCTCTAGTGTGAGAAACTGAAAGTGTAAATAAGGATCAAAATGTATAATTGATATTGTGAAATAGGAAGAAAAGGTCTAAAGGAGTAGGGGAAGTGGGAGGGGTAGGAGAAAGGAAAGAAGGGAAAAGAAAAAATATGGGAAAAGGAAAAAATGGAAACAAAGTCTTTGTAAATAGGGAAGGGTGGAGGGGGTGAAGGGAGGGCCAGAATGGGGAAAAAAATAAGAACCAAGATACATCATATACAGGTACAAGATCCCAATGATGAATGTAATCATATTTTATATCTAAAATGTACCAATAAACTTAATGGAAAAAAAGAGAGAAAGTTCTGAGAGGTTTGGCATCACTGGTCTAAGGCATGAGTGCTGGGATCTATTAGCAATGCCTGCTATGGACAAAAAAGAAGGAAATAGTGGCACACGTATCAGTATTCACTACTCATAAGAGGGGCAGCAGTTAGGACCTACTGAATTTTCTCCTGAGTCCTTCGGATAATGTAGGTCTCTAGGTATGAGAACAATATCTGGATTCTATTGGGGATCTATTGGTTATTGAATGTGGCTTGTCTATATTTCATTCTGGAGCATTCAGGTGTAATTCTACAGGATGAATTCATGAAACTGCTTGTTAAAAGTATTGCCATGGATCAAAATTATGCATGAATGAAGTATCCACCTCTACTTAAATAACATCTGAGCCATATCAGATACTTGTAATCCAAGAGTGGGTGCTTTTCTACTGCTCATAAAAATAACCCACGAGACTCAG